TGTTCAGGAACAGTCGGCATCAATGTTCGCGCGGATGACATTGGATGCCATGCAAGAAAGAGGTTACCGGCGCGTACTGATTGCATCACTCCTCGTTTATTACCGAGTTGATCATGCCATAGTTGCATGTTGCGTTTGCAACCTCGCCGTCACATCAACCACATATAGATCCTCGAGTCGAGACCCCTGAATTGGCATGCGTCGCCCCTATGTATTTGTATTTCTCGAAGCCCCGATCGGTAATACACACATCATAATCTAGATTGATTGCATTCTATGCCGATTATGGAAAACTTTGCATCTGTCTGATCAATATGGTGGTCTTGCTCCAGGAGAGGAATGACAGTGGCCGCTTGCGGAGGATGCTGGACTTGGTATTAAAGTTTGGCATTGCACACTCTGAGTCACGTCTTTGCAGCTCACTCCGAGAAAGGCTAGGCGTAGTGAATAATATTGTTGTAGGTAAGCCTCGCCTCCGTATTGTAGTAGTATTGACTATTTGAAGTCCCCAAGTCACGAAGCTTGCAAGTTCATCTTGTTCATGATTACTGACCAGGCCTCGGTGTGAATGATAACTAACAAAAATTGCGTGAAGCGCAAGCATAGAAAATAAGATCGCTGTCATTCATTCTATTACCTAAATTCGGAACTCAGCGAGGATATAAATTATGCCTGCTTCGGCTTGTTATCCATGGTGTGATTCACATCGAACTGGTCCGGTGCGATTATGGGAGAGATTCCTTCCTGTTTTCACTGAGGTTATGCTTGTAATTGCATAAAGGTGTATTATGATGCAAAATCTAAAGCTATAACAAGACCTCTCCTGCCCCCTTAAGAAGTTTGGATTCAAAGGAAGGTGATTGGCTCCCATCTTCTATCAGGCAAGAAGATGTTATTCCCATGACGACAGCCGGGAGGGAGGGAAAGCGTCTCCGAACAATTGGCTTTCCCCTACCAGTATTCTACAAGCGGGAAACAGCTATATCAAGGTTTCACCTTCTAGTTCTCACGATCCCCCCAGAGGCTGAGTCGTCTGATCACTGACGGCGGACGGCCCCCAGACCATCATGATTCATACCCATGCATCATTCCGTTTCCCCTTTAATGATCCTAATAGAAGTATCTTCCCTACAATACCGAGTTCAGCACCCAACTGACTTCAATTCAAACACAATGCTTACCGAAATTGCACGGAATATGTATCTCAAGGCCACAGCGGATAGAGCCCGGACAATTAGAAGGGAAATTGATCGAATCCTCAATTTTGCATCTCTTGAAGAGTTTGCCACTATTGCTGCCCAGATACCGATACCCGATGACCCCGATTGGGATCTTTTTGAACCCCCCCGGGAAAGCTCCGATATTGGGCGGTCGACATGGGATGACTCCGAGGACGTGACCACCGACCTAAACGCCGCTGGATCACGAGCTGTAGATCCGTTTTCTCCGAGCAACGGCATACTCGACGAAAACAACTTGGAAGACATACGATCGGACAACAGTAGCCTCGCGAGGCTTGTTGAAGTGTTCAGAATCCGCATGAGACGAGGCAGCAACGACAGCACAGGCAGAAAAGCTTGTGACATGCGGATAACTGCCAGAGATTCCATAAATAATAGGAAACAGTCGATAAACGGCCTATTTCAAGCTATAAATCCATCTGAAAACCTGACGGAGACGGTCATGCCGACTGTTTCACCCACACCTCGATCACACGGTTGCCCAGTGTATCTGCGAAAGCAACGTCTCATAGTAGAGAACGTCGACCAGTTTTCTTCCAATATACCATTCAAAGACCAAACCCACAACATCGTCGTCCACGATCAGTTTTCAGCTAAACACCCTTCAGGCTTACCCAAGACCAACCTCAAGGAACGTTTCACTCAGCTGAGCAACGAAGCCGTTCGCGTACAGTCCTTGTTAAGGTTCCTGAAGTCTCAGGAAAGCACTCCTACCCAGATCGGGAGGCGACGCGGTCACAAGGGTCGACTGAGGGGTCAAAATAACATAGCTCATCCCTTAAAACAGAGTGTCACAATGGAGGAATACGAAGCAAGACCAGATGCGATATTCGGAGAGAAAGGTTATGTGAGAATGGTCAGGTGGTAATGGAGATGGTGATGATGGATAAAAATGCAGTTGGTACTACGACGTGCGACTGGAAAAGAAAAAGGGGCAATCAATGACGGCGTCCGGAAACTAAAGGAGTGATTCAGCGAATCATACAGTATTTTCACTTCGCAATGAAATAAAATAGTATCGTTTGGATTCGGGCAAAAAGAAAAGCGACAAGGAGCGAGGCACTTGTAATTGAGCTTGGGCTATCAGTAGGCATCATTGTACAAGCGGATCGAGGGCAGTATTTAGGCCACGCGGCCTTACTGAATATTTGCAATCCCAAAGTGAGATTGTCGTATTTTTCTGATAAACACTGGAAATTCTAGCAGTCATTGATTCGAGTTTGACAAGGTCAATTTGCAAGATTATTCATATACGTCGATCTACTTGAGGAACTTGTCCTTTGCCTCCGGGATGAAGATTAGGACAGATAAGAACAGCTCAAAGTGCCGTGCTTCCCACTCATCGGATTGGATGCTACTTCTGATACCTCCGGGGTGCGGTGGAAAATATCTCTTTCAGCTGGTTGTCCAGCCACTTGACGTCGTCAAAGTTACCCGGTGGGCCGCCGGCCCAATGTCCCCAGATGGATGGAAAGACGGCCAGCTTACCAACACCCTTGGTCATGTACTCTACCTCAATCTCGGAATCCTCAGGTCTGTACCTGTCAGTAACAATCGGAATGGTGGGATCTACAAGGAAGTCTTACGGGAAGTAGAGATCAGTCTTCGAAGGTAGTACCAAGGTTTTCGCCTTGATACCCGCCATGGCCTTTTTCAAGTCACCGTTGTATGGCTCCTGGTCGCTCACATCGGCGCTCTGCCATGTCTGGATCATGGTTAGAAGATTCTCGGGGTCCTTGCTCAGAGCCCACTTCTCCCAAAAGGTCTGAAGAAAGTCTTCGAGGTCTTTGGATTTGTAGTGCTCCTTGTAGACCTCTTGTCGATAGAAGGTCTGGGAAAAGCCCCATCCAGCATACACACGACCGAATGCCTTCAAGCCCGCTTGTTTCTCCTCGTCGGACCAGATTCGGACAGACTTGTCGTTGGCCGCCGCCGCGCGCCCGTTGCCACTCCCGGCCGAGCTGATCTTCTTCGCAGCAAGAAGCGCTGACTTGACTCCTTCTAGGAACACTTTGTTATGTAGAGCACACTTGGCTGCGCCGCAGAAAGGAACGCAAATGTCCATCATGTCAGGGTATTGTGTCGCCCATTGAAATGATTGAGCAGCACCCATAGACCAGCCTAGAACTGCCCTCAGGTGCTTGACGTTGAGTTCTTCGGTAACGAGCTGGTGTTGTGCACGCACATTGTCATACAGAGAAACGTCGGGGAATGGGCTGATGTCAGAGTTGGACGGGCTGATGGACTGTCCGTTGCCAAAGAGGGCAGGAATTATGATGAAGTATTTTGATGGGTCGAGAGTCTTGTCATCTCCTGCCAACCATTCGTTGTCCGCAATGGCACCGGAGAACCAAGTTGGATAGACGACGGCTGGCAGGGAAGCATCGCCAAAGGTTCTGTAGGCAATCCAAGCACCAGGCAGCGTTTTGCCGCTCTGGAGCTTGAAGTCGCCAAGCACGAACTTCTTGATATCGGCCATGGCGTGCGATAATGTTTGAACGGTCTGCTGCGTGTCAATGATGTGTAGTAACGCAAGATCAGGAGTCTTCAGGATGATTGTTGGATTTCCCTAGCTGACCCCGAAGGAGGGGAACTTCACGTATGTTGAGATAACAACGGCTTATCTAACATTGGGTTGCCGTCAACGCCATGTCTCTAACCACAGGTAGGCAAGGTTCAGCCGGTCTAAGCCGCGAGGGCAGAGCCCCGCATCTTGGTTTAGCATGCATGCAGCGTGTTTGATAACCGAGAATCGTACAAGCCAAACTAGTTACTCTTCAACGGCTGGCTTTCTTGTCTTTTTCATAGGTGTCATTATTGCATTGGTGGGCCCTAAACTCGCGATGCAGCTAACCAGTTTGTAAGACAAACGACAGGGGTGAACCAAGGTAAAAATATTCCTCCCCTCCCTTCATGGATGAAATTAATCTCTCCTAACCAAAGACCTTGTAACGCCTCTTTCTTTAAAGCTATCAACTTACATATATACACCCGCCGAGGACGACCGTATAAAAACAACCATTGTAGTCCCAAATCACAATACATCATGAATAATAACCAACACCAGCCGGAACAAGATAATGTCGAAAAACACATTCCCGCGGAAATACAAGATATGTCTGACGAGGAGATCAAAGTCGAATTCCGGTCCAGCCAGGCATGCAAAAGGTGCCTGCAATACTTTCACCCGGAGCTGACGAGTCCCTCACCCGGTCGCCATCTCCTGGTAGCTATCGCAGATGTACCACATAAGATACTGCATGAAAACCCAGACAACCTTGCAGATGGCATCAAGCAAGGCTGCTGGTGGTGCAACCGGGTCCTCTTGGCGATCCAAAAAACGCATGGTCCGATGACTATCAAGCACTTGCTCAGGATCTATCCAGGCTTCCATTCCTTCTCCCGTGGCCTGGAAGACTGGAATGAGGGCAGCGCAACTTGTTTCCTCACGTGGAGAATGACTGAGGGGTCGTTGCGTGACGCGGTGTGGTTTGGGCGTAAAGATTGGGCGCGGTCCCCACGAGGCATTTGTTTCAAGCCAGATTCCACCCGCAGCGGGGATCCATTCGAGTATCTCCCGCGTTGGATGTACCGACTCGGCAAACTGGAAGGAAACACGGGCTCGCAGCGCACGATGGAATATATCGCAGCCCAAATTCGCAAGTGCATGGAGACTCATGAGAGTTGTCGTGTGCCCTCCAAGTCTACTTGGTATCTCCGGCGGCTATTGCAGATTCTGTCGTCCGACGACCGGGCCACTGTTACAGGGCTACGCCTAGTGGAAACGGAAGAAACACCAATTCACGGCCCGTATGCTACGCTTAGTTATTGCTGGGGGAGTAAACCCAACTTGACTTTAAAGTTGGATAATTATAAGGAATATCGCATCACGGGGATGCCGGCCTTCGTAATACCGCAGCTGTTCCTGGATGCGGCGTTTGTTACGATGAAGGTTGGGGCTGGATATATCTGGATTGACTCATTGGTAAGTACACAATATCATTTACCTCTTATACATACTATTTCCCTGGACTTGTGACATATTCTACTTTTCCGGTTGAGTCCATTTTGCCAGCAGGAATATCTACAACAAAGCGTAAGCAGTGCTCATGCCTACTATTGCCCAAAGCTAGGCTATGGCACTTGAATACTATTACTCTGCATGTTGCTTTGTTTATTAGTCTGAAGAGACACAGTTAACACAGATCGTTTTTGAAGCCTGAAACTAATTGCGAGACAGTGCATTATCCAAGATTCAAAGGACGATTGGATCCGGGAAAGCACCACTATGCATAATGTGTATCAACACGGTCTCTGCAATATCATGGCGGCTTCGGCTGGGCACAGCGGCGAGCCTCTCTTTAGCAGGCGGGACGTGCGACTCATCACGCCTTGTATTATCCCTGGCGCAGAGTCTGACAACATGTCAACATATGTCCAAGGCCTAGAGGAGATCAATGAAGAAGGTCAATGGTTTGAACAGCTCAGCGCCGAACCCTTGTACAGACGTGGATGGGTACTGCAGGAACGACTGCTGTCAACGCGTAGCGCCATATTCACACGGCAAAACGTGTATTTACAGTGTCCCTACGGCATCACCCGGGAAGTACACCCCGACAACAATAGCGTGGATCTGTCCTTTGGGTTCTCCGACCCGCGCATGATCCCGAGCAAGTTCACTCCGGAGACATGTTTCGAGACATGGCGGTTGATCATAAACGCATACGCGAAGACCAACCTTTCGTTCGCGACCGATACCTTCTACGCGCTAGCTGGTCTCGCCGAGAGGGTTAAGCAGCTGTCTGGGTCCAAGTACCTGCATGGACTCTGAGAGGTCGATCTGGCCAAGTGTCTCGCCTGGTGGGACGAGACGCATGAGCGAAGACCTGGGCTTGAGGCACCCAGTTGGTCGTGGGCGTGTGTGCGAAAACCGCAGTACTTTGACTTTACCCAAAGTGAGGCGATCCCTCGAACGTGGGGTACGATGACAGATGGCATTTTGGGACTGCAGGGCCCCATGTTTTCCATCAGCACCGGGTCACCTGCCTCCCACTTGGACACCGATATGGTCCAAAAAGGAGATCATGCGAAGGGTGGAGGGTGTTGCAGACCGATGCGATACCGTAGCGCAGTTCGATGGGCCAGAGATCGAAAGAGAAGAGAAGCCAGTGACAGGAGACTTGCTGTGCGTCCTTCTGACGAGGTCACACTGCCGGCCTGAATACATGGGTATCCTTCTTGCGCCAGTTTCCGTATCCGACATCACTGCACCATATCGGCGGGTGGGCTTCTTCCGACTTGATTTATCATATAACGGAACGCCAAGCCACGTAGAGACGAATGTTGGCTGGGCGCCTGAAATAACGAAACGAGGGCGTGAGTTTTTGGACGAGTGTTACCAGCGCTTGTTGGAGACCTTAAAGGCTCAACCGAAGGGTGCCCGTGGCCTCGCGTGCGATGGGGCAACTGACGAACAAACAATATTTCTTGTGTAAGGAGTCGAAAGAGCGATACATGACTCGGAAGGACAGTGGAAGAGCCAAAAATGTGTAAAAGCTCATGGAAGACGCCTTTAAGGCATTCAATCCGGCTACCGACCGTTTCTCCTCTACACTACACTACCAAGGACCTAGCTAGATTGAGCAAATCAATCTTCCACGTGAACGAATATATATAATATGTACTGTGAGAAGTCTCAAAGCTGGAAAGTCTTTAATTGGTCTCGAAGGAGAAAGATAATAGCATTCTCCTTCTCCAGCGATCAGAGAACTTACTATTCTTATGCGCCTTGTCAAATTGATCGCGTGGGGAAGACTGTTAATAGCTGCCGATTTAGAGATTCGACAATGTTGCTTTTAGGCCAAGAAGTTTACAATTTCCATGTCTCTGAGGAAGAATACGTCGCTGCTGGTTCTCATACACTTCTACGTCTTGAACTCCGATCGAAGTAGACCATACACAAAGAAGCTGGGCTCTGTGAGCGACTCAATGTCTGCCAGAAAAGCATACCATACCGGGAACGCGGGGACAAACGGCTGTTTACCTTCCTTACCCGTTGAAGACGTCGCTTAGTGGTGTTGATGTATATTAGCTATGGGCGACGACGGAAAATTTCTCATTCGTGCAAGAATTAGCCGCGACGATTGCCGCTAGCCCAGGCGATGGCAGACGCGAATTATGATTTTGAACACAGCCGGAAGATTGCAAGAATTTGCGACCTGTCGCATGTTTGAGTTGTTAATGTTTCACTGACATAAGAGAACTGCGCGGCAATGCTACCTTTGCAGGATGATTCGGAACTCAAAAGATGTGATATATCGTTTGTTATTAGCTGTAGCAACGAAATGACCGTATAAAGAGACTCTCCACGCACGTTGTCGAGCTTTGTGACTAAACCTCATGTTCTGCGGTAGTATGATGCTGGGCGATATTACTCTTGCTGTCCCCTCCCCCCTCCAACCCCATGTTCTCAAGATCTCAATCTTTTCTGTGTGATTATATTACACTCTTACAATACGAGCTTTGCGATGTTCAGGCATTGCCCTTTTTGACCCTAGCGCGCCAAGATCAAACGAAGACAAACATCTCGGCGCTAAAATTCGGGTTGAACTGATGAAAGGCAAGCATCCCGGAGAACAAAGGTCAGATGGGCGAGACACTCATGCCGGTAACTGGACGGAGTACCGAGTGCTCTTTGCTGTACGGAGTATAGGGTCAGAAGAGGGAAAGAGGTGGAGTGGATGGTACATATGAGACCGCGTGGTGATTGGAGGGGAAAAATTGACGGTGCAAGATACCAACACTCAGAAAGGGCTTGGCAATCAATCCTTTTCAATAGCACAAACATTCCAAGGGTGTGAATTGGTGCACGGGTCGATCATTACCCTCTGAGGTCGTCTCAGTTCCGCGCCATAATCTGAGCAGTGGTTGGAATCAAGGACGGGAATTGGTTTCCGCATCTATTACACTTTGGTTGGGAGTAATCAGTCCGAGGAGGTAATCGAGAGATGTCCTGCAAAGAGGCGACAGCTGTATTCTTCTCATAGTCATCCAAAGTCAGGGATCGTTGCCACATGTCCAATAGTTTTGCTAGCTACCTCTCCACTACTCAACAACTCATCTGCTCAAGGAGCCGCCAACTCTTGTTGTACCTGCACGGCGATCCCCCGTCCCACCCATGTAAGATATTCCTCCAACGGTCGCTCCTCGTTCATTTACCTCAGCTCTTAGCGCTGCTCTACCTCTGGGGTGACACGCGAAAAGCGAGCCGAACGCCACTGGATTTCAGAGTTCCAACATGTCTTCAGCCAGCAATGTTTGCTCCGTATAACACACCTGCTATGAAAAAGCGTGTTCTCCTATTTCACAACTTCTTGGTCAGTGGAATTGTGCTCTGTGTCTTGGTTTGGGCAATCTCACCAACTCGAGAAAGATCCAAAAAGATGGTAGCTTCCCAACTTATGCTGGCTATCTCGATGCGAAGGACTTTGGAGGCCAATCAAGTTTCATCGCGATCTGCTAGGGCCAGAGCGCCCTCCACAGAGACCACCCCATCCCCCCCCCCCTGAGCGTTCGACATCCTGGAATGAATTTGAGGGCACCCCAGTTGCATATGCCGAGGTGGTTGAGATCTTGATTCAGGACAAGGGCCACATGCAGTTGAAAGTACCTGGTAGTATACGTTAGTCGTCAACATGGGGGTGACTTGTCTCGCAATTTCAAGCACTAGTAAGAATACCGTTCTCTCCAACGAAGATGCCAAGGATTGGGAACGGTCCGTATATTTAAGTCAGCACCATCTGCACACTGGAAGGACAGTTATTCTTATGCCACACCGCGCCTACTTTTTGTCTTTCGTTCAAGCTTTTATTCACCTTACTACTTCAAGCCTCGGTGGTGCCAGTCGCCCCTTGCTACACTTATACTTGCTCTGTCCAGACCGTGTGGTCGACAAACAATCCGTTACAAACATCAAGATGAAGTTCTCCGCCGTTATATTCATGTCCGCTCTGGCCACCGCTTTGCCAGCCAATACTATCAGTGCACGCAACGAGCTTGCTCTACGACAGGCCGCTGCGGCTTGTAACATCGGTTACTGCACTCAGAATGGCGGTACCACCGGTGGCGCCGGCGGCTCTAGCGTGACTGTCAAGACCGTTGACGAACTCGTTGCAGCCGCCAAGCGTACAGGTCCTCTTACCATTGTTGTCTCTGGCGCCATCTCGGGCAGCGCCAAGGTTCGCGTCTCTTCCGATAAGACTATCATCGGAGAGAAGGGAAGCTGTAAGTAGATGCGAGCCAACAACATACTGTATATCTTGGAAACAGTTTTTATCCCTACTCATTGCCATACTGACTGCATCACTAGCCCTGAACAACGTTGGATTATACATTCGTCAGTCCAAGAACGTCATCATTCGCAACTTGAAGATCGGCGGTGTGAAAGCATCCAACGGTGATGCCATTGGCATTGATGAGTCAACCAACATCTGGGTCGACCATTGCGACCTTTCTGGCGACCTGAGTGGCGGCAAGGATGACCTCGACGGTCTCCTTGATGTCTCTCACGGCGCCGACTGGATCACTATCTCCAACGTTTACTTTCACGACCACGTAAGTCTTGTCTTCTGTTCCTTATCATCAGCTATTCGGAGCTTCGGAAAGTAACATCGGGCATTCAGTGGAAGGGATCTCTGGTTGGCCACTCCGACAACAATGCCGGCGAGGATACGGGCAAGCTCCACGTCACCTACGCCAACAACCACTGGTTCAACGTCAACTCCCGCACCCCCCTAGTCCGCTTCGGCACCGTCCACGTCGTCAACAGCTACTACAACAAGCTCCTTTCGTCGGGCATAAACTCGCGCATGGGCGCTCAGGTCCTTGTCCAGAGCACCGCGTTCACCAACAGCCCTGCCAAGGCTATCTTCTTCGCCGATTCTAAGCAGACCGGCTACGCTGTTGCTGAGGACGTCAGCCTTGGCGGCTCTCAGAACACTGCCCCAAAGGGAACCCTCACCTCCGCCTCGCTCCCCTACAAGCTCACTGCCATTGGTTCCAGCAAGGTCGCCAGCACCATCCCTGGCACTGCTGGCCAGAAGCTGTGAGGAGCATATTCGGCCTCGGCGATGTGAAGGTGCGAGACTAACATTGAGGTGTTGTTGTACATACTTGACTGAGTATATAAGAGCGGTGGCGATGGATCGTTAATATGTTCTCATACTGTGTACATATTTTGGGGCCAACAATGCGCTTTTGCCAATGTTGGAACCCCGAAGAAATCATAACATACAGATTTGTCTATTGTATGGACTTAACCGGATTCTCTCCCTATCTGAGTGTTCACTCCTTCTCTCAGCGGGGCAAACTCTAGATAGTGATCTTCAGATCGCAGCGTTGATCCGGTTGCAAACGTCTTTTGATTTTTTGATGAACAGGAGAGTAAACTTCCTTGCAACCTGAAAGGTCCAGTTGTGTATTAGTTGCCAGGCAGATGAGAGAAGGTCAACCCATTTGTTTCAAAGTGTCGCAGAGTACCCTACTCTCTCTTTTGGATACGTGGGAAGCAAAGCCACACGGTAGCCACCACCGCAATCAATGATAGAATGATGGGTTGGAGCACCGTAACACCCTTGCTAGTCGCAATGGCACCAATGATGAATGGGAACACTGTTCCCCCTGTGCCTCCAATAGCCATAGCGAAGCCAATGGCACTGACATGAATGTGTTTCGGAAGAAGCTTGGCCGTCATCGTAACAGCACCAGGGAACATCGGACCCAAGAAGAAACCAAGGAACGCCACAGCAATAGCTGAGACGATGAACTGGGGCACAAGCCAGAAGAGAAGTTGAAGGGCAATGCAGATAACGAGATAGATGCTGATACAGAGCCTCTCCCCGTATCTCTCGGTTACGAAACCTAGGCATGCGCGGCCCAGGGCCTGTCCGGCCCAAAAGCCTGTGGCAGAGACACCAGATGCATAGGCGGACGCCTTGCGGACGCGAAGCATGAAGGTGACAATCCAACCACCTAGGCCGACTATAAAACAATGTCAGACATGCGTCGATGCGGAAGACTTTACCCACGGTACCAAAACATACCTTCGGCACCCATATATGCGAAGAAGAACACGGAGCAAAGCCAGGTGACCTTGGACTTGAGTGCGATTCGAGTGCCAGCACCCCCTTGACCCTCGTTTTCATGAGCGTGTTCGGCGCGATACATAGCACCGGTCTTTGGCCAGAAAGTGATGGCAAGACCGACGAGTTCGAGAACAGACGCACCAACCTATGGATTCGTCAGGGTTTCCGTAGACTCCATGCGCTTGTGCATCGTCGACTCACCATGAAATAGTAATAGTTGTACCATGGAAGTGAAGAAGTAACCACCATCGATGTAGCAATCAGCGGGGCAATGAGGGCGCCCACGGAGTAGGAGGCGTGGAGGAAGCCCTGGATCGTGTTGGTCTTGTCCATGGCGCCAATCCAAGCACAGAAGCAAGCGTCGGTCAGTCCATTGCCAAACCCACTGATCATATTCGCAACCACTAGGACTGGATAGGGAGGATGCAGGGACAGAACAACATAGGTGACGATATGACACAGGGGGGCCATGATAGCAACCCCTCGCTGTCCAAATTTCTGGTGAATTCTGGCGTTTGTGAACGCCGCAACTGAGTAGCCGGCGAAGGGCGTTAGGAAGATGAGTGAGACGATCGTGTAGCTCAAGTCATAGTATGTTTCGAGCTATTCACGAATGAGAATGGCTGGCAAGCTTCGTAGACACATCGGCTGGGCTTACATATGGAATCAGGGCCTATAAGTGGTGAGCAAGTGATGTTTCTCATGCGCAGTCCGGACAACCTACACCAACTGCCGCATCATTCATGCCGGAAATAATGAAGGAGAAGAAAGCGAATACAATCCTGCCAACGTTGCCCTTGGGCGAGTTCCAGCGCTCGATGGGTCCATGAGCGTTCGGCGGCGGGGTACTGTCCAGGTCGTCTGTTGTTGACTGATGGGCCTCGGAACCGTCCAGCTTCGGCGAAATATCTTCGAGCGATCGGCCATGACTGGAGGTCAAGTGGCCGAGCTCATGGACATCTGGCCCGAAAGGTTTGTGTTGCTGCGTATCGGAACGCGTCTCGGTGGCGGTCTGCGACATACTGGCTGTAATGACCGGTTCACGAGTAGCTTTTTGCGATGCAACTCGTGTAGACAGCTTGGTCGCGGCCGTTCCGGTGACAAGGTGCTCCAGCTGAACAGAGACTGCAGATGAAGAGAGACTTCGGTTGAAGAAGAAGAAGAAGCCTCAGCGGAAGATTCGAACATATAAGACCGATGAGGCCAACCGGCGAGACGAGCGGGGCGGGGAGGTTACGAGCCCGATAATTACCCGGCCGAACTAGGCCCCCTTTCGGTATCGGGAGCGGCGGAAGTGGAATACTGGCGGAGAACTCCGCATCGATCGGGGCAGTAGTCCATTACTGGCAATAACTAACACGTATTAAGACTTGTGAGGGCTAGCGTCTTTGACAGCCTTTAGTTTTTGATTCGCCTGCTTGACTCGGTTCCTGGACAGGGATTCCGTTCACGGAGTCGAGCCATCGGGCCCACCAGAACGTGGAGGAAAGGGTGTCTGTGAAGTATTAATAGCCGCTAAAGGAGGCGGTAGTGATAGACTGTGCACTATGGCAGCGATATATTCCGGGCACGCTCTTAGTGTCGTGCTCTTTCAACCGAGGACATCTAAACGTACATAAGTTTGGTGTTTGTCGGGGAAGCATCGTGATTGATCATCCTGATACGATGGGTGCTTGACGATGAAATTCGGGAGTACATATATAACAACCATAACTTCCGTTTTGTAGGTAGTAGAAGATGGAATCTTCCACTACTTGACTGGCAGAAACAAATGACCCATAGATACTTCTACGGTCAGGGATTTCCCTGATAAACAACCTGGATTCTGCTTTTGGCAACGCAAGTAACCAATTTGCAAGTTTTCTCGGATGAAAGGGCAGATTAACCCAGTGTTGTTGAACGTAACCCGTTCTCTGTGTTTATCCAGCGCCTCAAGGAGTCATCGGCACTATTTCTTGGCAACAGCAGACTCGGCATAAATGGCTTACTCGGTTTTTAAAAGGCGGTGATTAGGCATTCCACCCAGGCTACCTCAGATCAATATGATCAGTAGTGTGTAACGAACTGGGCAGTCGTAGCGAGTATTGTCTCAGATTTTTGGAAGGTGAAAGAAGCGCATGCAAAGGATAGACGTTATCGATGATGTCTTCCATGCATTGGAAGGAGTGTCGTAGATTCGGGATAGTGAGTCAACCGAGTGCTGCGTCAAGTCCGAGACTTCACTTCAAAGCATTGGCTGGAGGATTACGCGAATAGCCCGAACCCACGGTGGCTATCTGAACTATTTGATGAACATGGTAGATTTCGGTCAACACACAAGTAATATCCCGCATGGTTTTGACTTCGGCTTTATCAAGCATACAATCCGGAGCCAATAAACCCGAGTTTAGTACTTGATGTTGACTTCCTATGCCGTGCTATGATTCTTGAGGAAAGCTAAGATTAGTCATGGCTATGGGCAGACAGAAAACTGGCTCTTCAAATTTTGGCATTGACAAGCGAGTCACACAAGCTGAGGCGGTATAATGTTTGTGTTTCCCACCACGTTTCACAAATCGTGTTCACATTCAATCATTAGCTGTGACCCTTTCAGGCCTACATACACTCATATTTCAATTGCCAAAAGAATACAGTGTGCAAAGAGGGATCAGATACAAGAAACACTTGGGAAGCATATCTAAGAAGCTGTGGCGTTTTCTAACAGACAGGGGTATTGCTTGTCCTTCAAGGTGGTCTCGTCCATATGACCTCCATGATTGCGGTTGCAACAGTTAATTGGCGTCTGGTCATTTTATCCCGATATGCCAAGCGGGCCATTTAATGTCCAATACTAGGACAAACAATGCGGTGTAACGGCCCATGGGATGTATTCAACGACAATTAAAGATAACCGACATTTTGTAATGTTCTACCGCCGAATCCCGCGGGACTGGATGCCTCTGCTTCAAACTCCATATGCAGCTAACCGTCATCTTCCGATTCAGAGAGAGAATAATGTCAATGACAATCTCCAATTGTTTATCTTGGAGATTGGTTGCGCACTTGGCTTAAGACCGTCTTCTTCATCTGTTATCAATCTTAGGGTTATCAATCGCTCTAACCCCCTTCACAGTTTTGCCCGCATACTTCTCCTCGTGCAGGCTCACTATTAATCTCCCAATAAACTGGATCAACCTGCGCTTTTTGAAGATTATACGACATCCACTTCCGTATAAGATCAAGGATATGCCAAACTCCATCGACGGCAGCGGTGGAGAAGACGGCAAGTTGAGTGAGCAAAAGTCATTCGAAGACGAAGCCAAGAATGGAGATACTATTACGGCGAACGAGTCTCTGGTCCATAGACACAGTAATGCACCAGAAACCACAACCAACAAAGTTGGGACTGGGTCCACCGATGTCAGGGGTTTCGAAAGCACCAAAAATATCCGGGCATCCCTTGTCCGCAAATTCGACTGCAGGCTAATCCCGGCAATATTCCTTGCCCATCTTCTCTTCTTTCTCGACAAGAGCAACATTGCCCTCGCCCGCATCAACGGACTCGAACAGGATCTGCAGCTAACCGGGAACCAGTTCAACACGGCCCTGGCGATGTTCTTCATTCTAAATATCCTGTTCAATATCCCAGGGAACCTAGCTGTTCGTCGTGTTGGAGGGGCGATATGGCTTCCGGCGTTGGTCACAGCGTGGGGTCTTGTTACAACTTTCAGCGGATTTATCACGAGCTTCTCGGGCCTTTGCGCCACGCGTGTATTTTTGGGCTTGACGGAGAGCTCATTCCTGGGGGCAGTCTTGATTTATCTTGGCTTCTTCTATACCGCCGATGAGCTCATCCTGCGTGTTGGTCTATTCTACTCGAGCACCGCGCTCGCCGGATTCCTGGGCGGCCTGTTGGCTGCCGGTCTGGGCCAGGTCAGAGTCGCTGGTTACAACGGTTGGCCTTGGATATTTTTCATCGAGGGGTCCTTGACAGTCATCCTAGGGATCAGTCTTTTGTTTGTTTTGCCACATACACCTTCGGACGCGAAATTCTTGTCTTCGGCCGAGAGATCTCTTGCTATTCAGCGCATGCGTTCACAGGATCGGTGGCACCATCTGGGCACACCCCAGCCCATCGACCATGATGCAAAGGGGCGAGTACAGCAAGACGGAGAAACCCAGACGAACAACGATCTTCTCACATGGGCAACAGTGGCAAGCGCAATATTCAACGTCATCACAATAACTGTGGCTGTTGCCTCGTTCTTTTCTATACAGGCTATCTACAGCTTTGCCATATTCCTACCAACGATTATATCTGCGATGGGCTACGAGAGGCTTCAAGCTTCATTGATGACGGCGCCACCTAATCTCGCGGCCCTGGTTTTCACCATTTCTATTTGTTTCTGGAGTCGGAGATCGGGAAAGACTGCTCTGCCGCTGAACGTTTGCAGTATCACCGGAATCCTGGGGTACGCTCTGCTTATTATTGGTGCGAAGGTTGGGGTAGCCCCCCTATTCATGAACGCTGGCATCCAATATGCTGGGACGTTCCTAGTTGCCATGTCGGTTAACGCAACCCCCCCCTTGGCGTTGACCTGGATGAGTATCAACGCTTCGCCGCATTATGTCAGAGCAATTACCTTGGGATTCGTCCTGTCTATCGGTAATTCAGCTACATTCCTTGCATCCTTTACTTACATCAAGACGGAGGCACCAAGGCAAGTTTCTTCAACTTCTATTCACTTTGCAGTCACTGACGCGCACAACATCGTAGGTATCTGAAGGGACACTCTATCAACTTTGGATGTTTGGTGGGGCTTTTGCTTGTCGGCATCTGCTTACCAGCATACATGAAATGGGAAAACCGAAAACGCAGCCGAGGCGAACGAGACTGGAGGCTGGAAGAGAGTCAAAGGAATGGCCTTTCGGCAGAGGAACATGAGTTCAGACTCGGGTGGATGCATCCCCACTTCCGGTTTAAGGTCTGAGTTGGTGTAACTATGAGGGTTTGTTAGACACTTATCCCGTTGTTTAGTCGCTGGGAGGTCTTCCAAGACACAATGATAGCAGGTTTTATCTCATTGTTTGGATTTTTGGCATTTTGCTACGAAAGAAAACAAAAAACAATGTCACCATAACAACATGTTGCTCATATTGTCCTTTCCTGCAAAAAGTTTTGCTTGGTGGCATTAGGTGTTGAGTTTCCAGGTGCAGGGGCCAGTTCCAAATCGAATAATTAAGCATGCAAGACAAGTTTCAAGACTCGGCAAGCATGAACTCAACTCTAAATGCCCCGATAGTACTCCGTAGATAAACAACAAAGGTTTCGGGGAGGGTTATCGTGGCTCTGATCAAGTCGATAGACACTACTACGTAGTGTTCAGTTGTTGCATTGGCATCTGTTTATCAACAGCAGAGAGGTAATAAATGATGAGTGAAAGTACGTACCCAGTGTCTAAACGCCGAAGATGCGAGACTATCTCCGGGCGCCCAGACAACGCTAAAACTAATCGATGAAAGGATGCCAATTTGCTACGTAGGTAACAACATACACCGTCACTCAAACATCTCCTGTCCGCCTCCAGTTATCTTCCCACCCCCTCTCAACTTCGGACGACGTCGGGTACCTGTCACATAGCCGATACAATCCGTGCAGGCCGTGCAGTGTCGCAAGAGGGCCTTGCTAAAGCGTGCACCCCCGCAGATATGCCCGGACACGGCCTCCTGTTCTTCATTCCCGGCAACCCAGGGCTCGTCGATTACTACACCGACTTCTTCGACGCGCTCAAGGCTCGCATAGGTTGGGCCGATGGCCACGTCCACGTCCACGGGCGCGACCTCTTTGGCTTTCGCGATGATAGTCACGAGCCCTTCAGCAGTGACAACCCGCCCTATGACGTCGAACGCCAGATTGAGCTTGTCTTTGGTCATTTGGCATCGCTGAGACGGACAGACTCGCCGCGCAATGCACCTGGCAGGAAGGGTGAGCCGTACGACTTCGTCATTCTGGCGGGTCACTCAGTGGGTAGCTATATCGCTCTTGAGATATTCCACCGCCATATGAAGGACCCCTCACGTGCGCCTCACCTCAAGCTGCAAGCTGGCATGCTCCTCTTCCCCACTGTGACGCACATAGCCCAGTCGCCGAGCGGAAAGCAGCTCGAGGT